TGGAATGCTTCGAGTTCTTTTTTCCTCCCATCAATAATGGCCTGATCCTGCACATTCAGACTCCTTCTCTGGCTGGTTCAGCAGCTGCCCAGGGCTGCAGGAGCAGGGGCTGCTGTGTCAGGAGGGTGAGCAGAGCTCTGTGCTTCGGGGACTGCTCTCACCTGGCTGCTGCCTTCCCCCAGAGACAGCCCTCTGTGCTTACTGCTGCTCTGGACCTGGACAGCCACAACAATCCTCCTCTGCCACTCTTTCCCTATCCCCCAGTGGTTAGTGTGCCTGTTAGTTTGGTTTCTTTATTGTTGTTTTTTTTTTTTTTTTTCTGGTTTTTCTCTCTGTAGACTTTGTGGTGCCTGTCACTGCTTTGCCCTTTCATGTTCAGGCTGACATGATTTTGTGAAACAGTGTCATATCCTTTTATCTAAATACTTTTCTCTGTAATTATTACTTTGCTGCCTTTTCAGGTGGGAGCTTGCCTTTGTTATATGATCTTTCTCTGATCATTTTTGTATCACTTGGTAATATAAAGGTGTATGTGTTCCTCTGAGGCCCTTTATTTAAATTATTTCTTTATCTATCTGTCAATGTGAATGATAAAACACCTTCAGGATTGCTCATCTCTCTCCTGATGAATGATCAGGTGTCATCTGTTCTAATATCAATGATTAATTTACAAAAATTTCTTCAAACTTTAGTAAAATGTGATGCTCAAAGAAAACACTGTGTCATCAGAGCTGAGTGCTGGTGGCAGGAAGGGTTTATGTGCCCGTTGCTCAGGCCAGGGAGGCAGCTGCAGTGGCTGGGCTGAACTCTGTGTCTGTGTCCCTGCACAGGGTCCTGGGGCAGGAGTGTGAGACCCCCGCTGCTCCTGGGGGCTTCTGCCCCTTGGGGTCCCTGTCTGCTCTCACTGCACTGGGAAATCCTTTGGTGCTGAGATCAGCCTTCAGAATGGTCCTGTGGGGCAGCCCAGGAGGGTTTCTGCTGGTCAGCCTTGTGGAAGGGAGGCATTCATGTTGGCTTTGGCTTATTGCCCTATTGCAAATGCAGGTGAGCCTGGTGGGGAGAAATGCTGATGTCTGACTCCAGCTCAGAAGGCTGAATGATTTCTGTATTATAACTATACTATAATACATTCATATACTATTTAGAGAGGATACTAAAACTAAAAACCTGCTTTTCTAACTCCCATATCCAACTCACAACTTGTGCCCCTCTCTGAGAGTCCAGCCCCAGGTAGGTTGGATTGGCCATCAGCTCAAACAATCCTCACCAGAATCCAACCAAGCAATCACCCCAGGGAAACAATTCTCCAAACACATTCCACATGGGAAAACAAGGAGCAGAAACAGAAATTGTTTTCTCTTTCTTTCCTCTGTGCTCCTCTATGACAAATCCTGAGAGAAGAGTGTGCCTATGACATTGCCCTGCTTTGGAAGCATCAGAGAGTGGCTCATGCTAGGATTTAGGATTGTTTCTGTGGTGCTGGCTCCTCTCTGGTGAGCAAGAGCTCCCTTTGCAGCAAACCCCCTGAATGTCTGTAGCTGTGGCTCAGATGTGCTTTGCTGGGCAGGCTGGGATGGTTCCCCTTGCAAAGGCCTCTGTTAAACACATCAATAACTGACTTGTCTTTCTGATCAGGCAGCTCCTCATGGAGTTTAAGCATCTGGCTCAGAGCACTTCCTTCTTTGCCTGACTCAACACTGACACATCTTGGTTTCTCACTGCAGTAGTGATGCTTGATAGCTTTCACAAAAAGAATGGTTTGAAGGTGTGCAGTCCTTTCAGAAGTGATGGTGCAGGTGATTTGTCTGCATCTTTGTGAAGTTCCATTTGCTTTATTCAGCATCTGCTGTTAAGTGTATGTTTCACTCTTTAAAACATTCCAACTTGTTTAAAGATATCTTACAAGAGATGGGGAGTCACCTTTTCACCAAGAAGCTTTTCTGTGTGGTCTGCAGCCTTGATGTCCAAATTCTCTTTCCCTGGCTGTCTCAAAAGGTCTGCAGAGAGATGCAGAACTGGAATGAGAGTTGGAGTAACTGGGGGAAGAGGGAGAGGTTGGCAGGCTGGGAACAGCGATGCTCTTGGAGAATGATAATTTCCCAAGGATGAAACAGTCACAGGGAATGTTATAAAGTGAAGCAGGCAGAGCAGTCTGAAATGCTAATATGGAGAAGACTTAAAAAGAAATTGGCAATTTTGGGCCTCGAAGCCATTTTTCTTTTTAATTTGTTACAGATAAATGCATGACTCTTGGGTTGCAGGGTTCTATTTTTGCTTCCCTCTTTGTGACACATTGATTTGGCCTTATTGCTGCTCTCTGGGTGCTTGCCCTTTAGAATGCTGCTGCTTACCAAAAGCAGGAGGCTTTTTTGGGAACTGTTCTTTAATGGTGCCACAGCACAGGCAGCAAAGATTGGGGCTCTTGCTGCAGATAGGCTGGGTTCTTTGATTTCTCATTATGCTGATTTGCCTCTTCCAAGCAAGGAGGTGAAGAATAATGGGAAATCAGTGCTCCAGCACGAATAGTGAGTTACTTGATAGTGATCAGCTGCTGTTTCAGCCTGGTGTTGCACAGCTGTGTAGGGAATAGTGGGGTCACTGGAGACTGTTAAATACAATGATGGAACAATGGGATCACTGGAGACTTTTAAAACAATGATGCATTCCTAAGAGGCTCCTTTGGAAGAACAAGTTCACCTGCAGGGTAACAACTCCCTTGGCCTGGGGCAGGGGGTCACCCTCACCTGTGTCTGTGCTGGAGGTGGGATGGCTCAGCTTCCTCTCACCTGCCTGTGGCAGGTGCTCAACAGGAGGGTGTGCTGGTTTGGGGTTTGGTTTTTGTTTATTTATTGTGGGTTTGGGCTTTTTAAATTCTGCATGGCAAAGTGGTGGAAGTCTACAGGAAAATCAGACTGGTTTAGTCCTCAGCCTCCCCTTACATCTTGCCATTGTGTCATAAAGCTGCTGGAAATAAAGCAAAGCCAGCCTTAATCCAAAATTTAAAATGCAGTGCTGATGGTGCTGAGGAAGCTGAAGCTGCCACAAGGCTGGCAAAAGACAGAAGATGTGGAATCATCCTTGGGAAGCTCCAGTTTGGTTTATTCATGTTTGAGGCTGTGGAGGATGCTGGAACCTGAGGAAGGAAGAGGACAAGCAGCCTGCAAACCCTTCAGGATGGAAAGGATCCTACTCAGATCTTCACATAGCACAGTGTGAGTCCTCTGTCTGTTGTGACTCAAAGGGGCAGAGCAGATCATCCCCCTGGTAAAAACTGGCTGAGCCACACTGGGGAAGGGACTCGCTCTGTTTATAGCCTGGCTTTAGAATGCCTCCCTTTGGAGCATTAGCAGATTCAGCCACTTAACTAGGTTAAAGCTGAAATACCTTAATTTTTCAGAAGTGAGCATGAAGTTACATTGGAACAGACATCTCCCACGACGTTACTTTCCAGAGCTGAAAATATCACTCTAGCAGATTTTATCTAGATACTTTTGCTGAAATTATTTCAGTTCATAGCAAACCTAGAAGAGCAGAAGTGTTCAGAAGATTCAAGGAGAGCTGCTGCAATGAAATAAAAAGGTAAAATTTCTGGCCTTACTGAAAAGAACCATTTATCTCAATCCCCAAGATGCAGCAACAAATTTCCTCTCTTGCACTACCAGCCTGAGCCTGCAGCTGGGAAGGCAATTTCCCTAAGAAGTTGTTCCCTTCAATCTGCAAGAAAAAGACAATTTGCTTTTTTTTAATAGTAGCATTATATAATTGATTGGAAGAGTTTTATATCTCATGAGTGCTGGATGATTGTGGATGGAACCATTTTAAAAATAAAGGAACTGTGAGGGCTGAAATCCCAAGGATCTGGGAACACAGAATGGAGTCAGTGGTCTGGCAGATCCCTTCAATTTTCTGAAGCCATGGCCAATAACTGCAGTGAAGCTGAGCCATGAGGAGTGCTATGGGTTATTCCAGTGGAACTTTGATTATGATGGTATAGAGGGAATGTAATATTTAGGATAGGTTATATAATTTGAATCTTTAAAGCACTGCTTTTCTGGTGAGTCTCAATAACAAGCAAAATGGTAATCTTCTGCAATTCTGCCTTTGTAAAAACATGCATAATTTTTACAAAAATAGTCATGGTGGTAATTAAGGACGCTGATAGTTGTTTTTGTTTTTAATTTCCTATCCTTCCGAATCCTTAATAAACTTTCATGGTCACAATCCAGATGGTACAGCAGAGCTCAGTGTTGTTTTTGAGATTTTTTTCTGGTTTTTGTTTATGCTGATTATAACTCTCCCCAGATAAAAGTTTAAAATGGTTTGGAGTTTTGGCCTTTGGCTGTTTGGAAAGCTGCTGTCAGCTTCCAGCACAAACCAGTTCAAATTCAGTGCACGTTCCCAGCTGGGCTGGGGGAAGGGCACTTTGGGGGGACCAGTCTGGCACTGCCCAGAAATGCAAACCACTGCACCTCATTCCAGCCCTGAGCCTGGTTCCTGCTTGCACAGGCAGTTCACCTGCTCTTTTTATTCTTCCCCATTTGTGTTGCTCTCGTGCTCTGAAGAGTCACTGATTTACAAAATCTGAGGAACACTGTCCTGAGGGGATGGGGAATGCAGAGGGAAGGTTTTTAATCCCTCAGATAATTAAGCACTAAAATAAATGATGAAAAAATTATGAAGCTGAAACACTCTGTTAATTTTAATACAAAAAAAATGTGCTTTTCCCTGTGGAACACAAGGGAGGGAGCCGCAATCAAAATAAGGGGAATAAAAAACTGAATACTCAATTTTTTCCTCTCCAAGTTGCTTCTCTGATGCCTTGCTGTGCTTTGCCAAGATGTTGGGAGGAGAATGAAATGAGTGTGGAATTTATGAATGGGGCATTAGATGGGGAAGGAGGCTGTGGGTGGGTGAGCTGAGGAGTACAAGAGAGCAGAGCTCCAGCCCTGCAAAGCCACTGACTGGAAGATCTGATCTCTTAAACTCTTTCCTTCCAACAGTGAGCGAGAGCCGCGGGATCCTGGAGAGCATCCAGCGCTTTTCTCTGCTGCCCACGTACCTGCCGGTGACCTACCGCATCCACAACGCCGACGTGTCCTTCTTTCTTAAGGAGGCCAACCAGGATATCATGAGGAACTCCAGCTTGCAGTCCCGGGTGGAATCCTTTCTGATCTACAAATCCAAGAGCCCCCCCGTGTTAAACGCCAGCTATGGGCCTTTTTCCATCGAACAGGCGGTGCCCCAGGACTTAATGCTGTCCTCCAATCCCTTTGGATCCACCAACACGTTCACGTACAACTGGAAGCTGCAGGCCTACATCCTGAGCACCAAGATCTACCTGAGCAAGCCCCGGGTGCAGGTGCTGTTCTACGTGGTGGGCAGGGACTGGGACGAGCGCAGCCCCGCGGAGCGGCTGCCCTGCCTGCGCGTGTTCGCCTTCCGCGAGACGCGCGAGGTGCGCGGCAGCTGCCGCCTCGGCGGGGACCTGGGGCTGTGCGTGGCGCAGCTGGAGCTGCTGCCCGCCTGGTTCAGCCCCCCAACCGTGGTGGCTGGCCGCAAGAAGCAGATGGAGAGGTCCGAAGGGAGCCCCGTGGAGCTCTACTACTCCATCCAGGCGGGGGATGAGAGAGGGGAGTGCGCCAAGGAGGACGTCAGGAAAAGCAACGGGATCCGCTCGGGCCGCAACGACATTGACGAGTCGGGACCTCCCCTGCAGAGGATTGGAAGTGTTTTCCTTTACCAGACACACGCTGCCCCTTCTTTAACTGAAATGAGATTGGATAATAATATTGTCATCCAGTATGCACCAAAGACCGTCAAGCAAGGAGACATTCTGACTTTCCTTGTATCTGTTGCTAAAAACTCAACAGAAGATCAGTTCACGCTGAGGTAAGGCTGATTTGTTTCTTTGGTGCCTCACTTTTTGTTTCTCTGCTCTTGGAAGTCACTTTCTCTGTGCAAATGGCCTAACAGTCCAGCAATTGCTGCTCTCCATTTCTCATGTTGTTCAGTCTGGTATTGGTACGAATTGTCTGAGATGTGATCTCGTGGAGTGAGAGAGGCCTTTTCCTGAAGTTATCCTTTGAGGAATGCTTGCAAAAATTGAAATGGTAGAGCTGGGATATATCTATGTACTAAGAGGAGATAACATCTAAATTCTTGAGAGCTGGAGTTTGCAGTTCTCCTAATCTCTCACTGGACTTATGTTGAGATTAATGAAGCTTAAATCCGCAGAGTTATTTACAGGAAATAAGCAAGAATTGGGCATTTAAGTAGGAGACACACGTTTCAGCATCTCTCCCCAGCTTGTCGTGAGCTCAGCTCTGTATTGCAGAATGTCTGAGGTTCCTAAGTATTATTGATCTGCCAAAACAATTTCTGAAAGGGAGAAACTGCCCGAGGGGTGGTGGCTGGTGTTTGGATGTGGCATCATGTGCCACGTTGGTTCACCTCATTCTGTCCAAGCACTGAGCTGTTCCAGGGCCAGTTCCCTGTAACCACCAGTAGAACCCAAGCCAGACCAGTAAGGACTGGGCTGGGGCATGGAGCAGGTGTGTGTGTGCCTGCATTTAGGGACTGTCCAGCAGTCTCTTCTTTCCAAGTGCTGGACACAGGGGCTGTGGGGCTGATGCATGGGAAATCCGTGTCTGCAGAGATTATTCCGTTTTTTATCCCTTCCCAATGGCTCGTGCCACCCCCTGAGCTGAAGGCAAATGTCACACTGGCTTCTGGGCGCGAGACTGATTTGTCTCAGGTGGTTGCCCTAGAAATGGTGGGTGCTGCCAAAGCTCCCAGAACGTTCCTCCAGAACAGCAGATGCATCACAGGAGGGAGCAGTGAACTCCCCACTTGTACAAATGCCACAGGCTGGGCGCTGCATTCCCAAACAGCTGTGCTGAGCCCCAGCCACCCTTTGAGCTGCCACCTAAGGAATCACAGCCTGGGGGGGTTTGAGACAAAACTCCTTTCTCTGGTGGCTGCACATCTCCTATTCCAGGGCTGAAAGTGGGGCCGGGTTGGAAATGGAACATTCATGAGCTGCCTGGAGCAAGGAGAGCTCAGACTTGGCACCACTGGCCTCAGCAGTAAGAGCTCAGCCCAGCTATGTTTTTTCCCCCAGGGAGATTTGTGGGGGACTTCTGGAGAAAATAGTTTTCCCTAAAATCGGGTGGTTTTCCCTTTGCCAGGTGTGTGATGTATAAACTGAATAACGATGTGTAAGCTGAATAGCCAGAGCACTTGGTTGCTGACTCAAGGGCAGTTATTACTTTTCCATCTGGTGGAGGACAAACCCTTCTCCTCACCAGATCAGTTTCTCATATCCTGAGTCAGTCTAAGATTTGCTTCCTGAGCACTGATTTCAAGCCAGACAATCCAAGTTCCTCACAGCAAATGTTCAGGGATGTCTTTGTCTTTATTCTCTGTACTAAAGACTTAAAAGGGAAGTCTTTAGTCATCAGCAGATATGGAAACTTCTACGTTGGAAAATAGGTTTAAATATAAACATTAAAAACAATTAATTTAGGTAAAAAATGTTTATTGTTTTTACTCTGTAAATATAGAGTCTTAAGAGATCTCTCTTCAAAGCATCTCTATTTCCATGAGCTGTAATCCATTAAAAGTGGAGCTGGTTACAACCATGATAATTGTTACATATGGGTTTATAAAATTTTCAAAACCTTGCTTTGTTTAAATTAGGATGAAAATGCAGCACCTGAACTTTTAAAGGAATGCTTCTAAAATGAATTTTCTGGAACAAAAAGGAAAAGAGGTGTTTGAATTGTTGCTTTTTATTTGGAGATCTAAGGTAGCATAAAACAAAAAATAAGCTAAAAATAGGGAGTGAATATCAGTTCAAAATGAAAAGTGTGTCATTCTTGTCTTAAAAGCAGCACTTTGGTGTTACCTCCTAAAAACAAACTTTTGTAACAACTTGCTGTTGGTTTCTTGAGTTTGATTTCTCTTGACCTGCTTTTCTGGAGTACCTGGCTTTCAGTCTGCAGAGTCAGAGTAGGTGTGATGTTGTTGAACTGTGCCTCTGGGGAGCCATTCCAAACTTGGATCTGCTTACAGCAGCTCCACGGGGTTTTTGGTTGGCTGTTCTGGGTCAGAATTTTGGTTTCTGTGTTCATCCCCCCATGGCACATTCTCCATCTATCTGGTCTCCTCTCATTCTGATCTTCTCCCTGATAGAGGAAAAGGCCTCTTCCCCCCTCCCCCAGTGTAACTCTTATGAGCAAAATTACTTTTTGTTGTGAACCAGTCTGTTATTTTTCCAAGTTCTGCCTTGAGTGGCAGCAAGATTTGGAACTATATTCATGAAGTGAGGCCTAGGGCTGCTGGCAAAATGCTTTTACCATTGCTTTTGCTCCAGTGGACTGGAAACTATGGCTTGAACAGATGGAAAATATAAGATATACAGGTCAAAAATGTAGAAACAGACATGCAAATCAGCCAAGATTCAAAAATTACTCATCACTACTGAGTATCTTCTATTTTAGAATTATTGTGCCTAGAGTAAAACCTATCCCCTTTCTAATCTGAAATTGTCTTCAAAGGGAGCCTTCTAGAAACTCCTGAAAATGAAAAGATTTGGGGGAAGGTAACCTTGTTTTTTATCTTCTGCTGTTCTGCACAAGGGAAGATTTAGAGGCGTGAATGTGGAACTGATGGACTGTTTTTAATTTTGGGAAAGAGCTGGACCATAAGAGCCAAGGCCTAGGTTTTGTTTTTTAATGAGCTAGGGAAATTAAAAATATTTGTCTTGACTCTGTATGAGTGTGAGAGATAGAGGAAAGGAAGGAGATAAAATATAGATGATGGGTAAATATGGAATATTGCTGTAGCTTGAAAGCTTCACTGGGCCTTAGGAAACTGAGGGATTTCTCAGCTTCATTCAACACTTCCCCTTTTTCACCTCCTTTTTCTGTGCTCTGGCCAGGGAAGGCTGAAGGCTCTTCTTCCTTCCCATCATGGGTGCTGAAAGTTTCCTGCTGTTCACAGAAAACATTCCAGTCTGTCTTGTTTTGCTGCTTTTCTGCACTTTCATGGTGCAAGTATTGGAACATGAAGTGAGATCTTCATTTGAAATGTTTTTGCTGAGAAAGGAAAACATGAAGTATAATTTCATGTCAGTCCTTCCAAATGCTTTCAGCAATTAAAGCCTCAAAGCTCTGGTGTTACACAATTCCAATTTGTGTTTGCAGCAAGCCCCAGCTCCTGCTGGAATTAACTCTGTGCTGTTACAGACATGGCAATCAATGTGTGCAGGGGTGCCAGAGCCTTCCAAAGTCAGGAGCAGGACTTTGCTGAATCCACGCTGAAAATACAGTTCTTTGTTTATTGGCTTTTTTGTTTTGCTGGGCTTAATAAACATAACCTTCTGTTTTGTTTTAAAGTCAACAGGATTGATACTCTCTGCTTGCAACCTTTTAAATTTGTTTTTCTATTTCTGGAAATGAATCAGCAAAGAAATTAGAGAGCTAGAATTGCCTTAAGCTACTGAGTGTGAGGCCTGGATCCATTCATGAGTGGAAAAACACAGCACCTTTTTTTCTTTTTACAGTTACTCAATTTCTAATTATACTTCATGAATCCTGTGTGAGGGAGCAGTTGAAGGTTGACACAGAAACCTGTAAACATTCAATACTGGAGAAAAGTAAAGTTTTTTTTATAAACTATCAATGCTATTTCTGCATTTGTAAACCCAAACTGGGGGTTGGACATCTGTAGGTACCAGTTTTATAAACTACTGGGAAGCTTTGTGGCTTCCCTCTGGTATTTTTAATGATAATTGTGGGAATACAGGGGACTGGTGTGAAACTGTGGTGGTGAATAAGCAGTGCTTATTGATAGTTGGGAAGACTTTCCCCAAAAGGCCCAAAGAGTTTATGTTACATGACCTTCTTATTCTCTGTTTTATCTAACAATCAATTGAGAATAATCCAGCAAACATGAAAAGGGCTGCATAAATACATGAGGGGAGCAGAGTCCAGATCATTAGCACTCAATTTATACAGCAAGAAAACTTGAACAAGGCTGGCATTTTATCAAATTGCTTGGGTGTTCTTCTAGTGCTGGGCTAAATCAAATCTTATTCTTCATGCTGAGCTGAATCATATTTAAATAGCAGAAACAAGCAGTGATCAGGAAGGTTACCAGCCACATAAAACTCTGATAAAATGGGCTGTTCTTAGATTATGTGGCTATTTCATGGTACCCCAGCCCTGAACTTGCACCTCCTCTGCCAGATTGAAAATAATCCTATTGAACATTTTTTACTCCTCCTTTCATAGCTCTGGTTCTGTCAGTTAAAACATCCTTCCACATTCTGGTTTAAAGAGCTTCTAGTCTTCTCATAATGGAATTTTTTCCCTCTCTTCTAATTGTGAGAGAAAAAGAATTAAAAAAACTCCCAACAAAACCTAAATGATTCTTCTTTCGGAGTACAACCTCTGCATTTCAGCTTTTCCACTGCTCAGTCCTGATGTAAAAATAAAATTGAGGTAGGCAAGAGTTAGACACTGCAACCTAAGAAGATGAGAGTCCTGTGTCATTATTGTTTTGTGGAAATAGCTGGTAATTTCTTTATTGTTTTGTGGAAATAGCTGGTAATTTCTTTATTTTGTTGTGGCAATAACTGTTCTTTCCCAACATGAGCTGGTTCAGAGGTGTTTCTGCAGCAGGGCTGGGTGGAATCAGCCTCTGCTGCTGCCTGGGGAGAGGTTCTCCAGCAGGCTCTGGGGTCTTCTGCTGTGTTCAGCACACTGTGCAAGCAGGAATTAACTTTCATAGCCTGTTTATGAGCTAGTCAAGCAAATATAATTTATTCCATCTTCTGGATGGCAGAATAGCCTTCCTGCACTGCTAAGTGACTTGCTAATGGCCCA